ATGATTTGACTCAATCAAACACTGTACCCAATCAGTTAAGAGGAACATCACGGCATGAGCTGCAGCACTCCCTAAGCCACCAACCCTTTTCAAAGCCACAGTCATACATTTGTACAAAATTTACAAGAATATTTATAACATTCCTAATCTTACATAGGCCCCTTATATTGTGTACGCTTCAGGGCATGCAAACAGGAAAACCTAATCTGCTCTGTTAGTTAGGATTCACATTTATTTCCATGAGGCTTTGAGAAGCTAAATTGCCAAATATTTCCATAAAAGGAAGTGACAGAGACAGAATGTGAACCCAGTACTACCTGTCATCAGAGCCTAAGAACTCAACTGCAGCACTAAAGTGCACTGATTTTTTTACTGCTCCTACTGCATAGAACAGCCTTCCCTCCCTATCCTACCTTTATCACCACAGTCCTAACAGGCTCTTATTCATCCCACAAAGCCCACCTAACTAAAATATCACCCCTTCTTCACAGCCTCCCAGAGAGAGGGAAAGAGAGAGAGACAGTGAGAGTGAGAGAAAAAGCGAGAAAGAGAGAGAAAGAGATACTTTAATTCTCTATTTTGAACTATATACATGGCATAACGCTATCAAAACACTGACTTTGGGAGTCACACTGTCCTAGGTCCATATTGTAACTGTATTGCATATTTGCAGGGCAATCTTGGGCAAAAATTTAATCTCTCTGCCCCTTGAGATTTTTTTTTTAAAGATAGGGTCTAACTCTGTAGCTCTGGCTGGCCTGGAACTCACTATGTAGACCAGGCTGGCCTCAAACTCACAAATATCCACCTGCCTCTGCCTCCCGAGTGCTGGGATTCAACACATGCAGCACCACATCTAGTATCCCCTGGAGATTTTTATCTGTAAAACAGAAGTAATCATTCTTACCTAATCATCATTTTAATATCCATCCATCCATCCATCCTTTTATCCAATCAACACATACCATCTCTGCTCTCACAGTAATCAGAGTCCACCAGACAATGCAAGAAACAGTATGCATATTAAGATGGGATATAGGAAGGCTGATAGGGAAGCACCATGCCCCAGCTTGGGGGTCAGGCAAGGACAAGGGGGATGAATAGCAGTGCAGTGAAAAGTGTCATAAAAATATAACACAGCAAATATTCAAGACAGATACCACAAGTAATTTCAACTTAATAAAATACTTCCACCCCACCCACACCCTCATCACATGTCCCTCATTTCTTAAGCACTTGAGAACTTCTCTGTCAGGAAGTGAGTTGGTTTTTTACAGTAAGCGGGTCACCAAAAGTGGAATCTTGTCTTTGCTCTGGCCAGTGAGGACATACGAGGAGCCAGAGAGAAGGCCAAGAAAATAAAAATAAAAGCTGACTCTCTCAACATTCTGTCACAACCACAAGGATGCCTTAACATTTATTCCTGTTTTCCACGCTGAAGCATTTAATGACAGAACAAGGAAATCACTTTTACATTTTTCTGGGGGCTGAACTGCTGCAAAAAGTGAGAGAGCAATTGCAGCTTTCAAAAGAGATGCTAATTGTAGCTTTTAAAATATTAGACTCCCTCTAAACACCTATCACCCTCGCCCCTCAAGAGTTCCTGGGTCTTCCTTAAAGGTAAATCTTACAGGCAAGATATTGCCATGTAGACTTTATTACTTTATTTTCCTACCTAGGCGTTTTAAATGCTTTGGGGGGGGGTTCATGCCACTGTGTGCAGGTGGAGGTAGAAGACAACCTCAGGTGTTTGCCCCTGCCTTGTTTTGAGTAGTCTCCTTATTGCCACTGAGCTGCATAGGCCAGGCTAGTTGGCCCACTCCTGTCTCTACCCCACCTCCCCATCTTGTCATAGGAGCCCTGAGACTGCAGAGTGCAACTAACTTCTGTGCCCAGCTTTTACATGGGTTCTAGGGATTTGAACTTAGGTCCTTAGGCTTGTACAGCAAGCACTTTGCTCATCAAGAGACCTCCCAACCCTTAAAACACATTTTTAGGTGAGTCATTCCTATTTGTTCAGGGGTCCTGCATCACAATGGCAGTCTTCCTAGAAGACACTCCAAAAAATTAATGTACCATGAGGCAGAGCAGTTCCCAAGCACCTACCAACCTCCCCATCAAGTGAGAGCTACATGTTCAATTGGGCTTCCTACCAGCCAGTCAGTCTGGACAGAACGTAAGCTTCCACATCACGGGCGGGGGGGGGGGTGTCACAGGAGGTTTTGGGGACAAAGATAAAGGAAGGAGAGTCTGTACAGGGGACCTGCAGATCTTCTTTCTGGGCTGGGTGACAGGGAAGAAAGTATAGCTGTGCTGGCAATTCTAGTCATAAATGCTTTCACAACAATAAGACAACAGATTCAGGACGAAGCAGCAGGGATTAGCAGCAACCAAATGCCCACATTTTAAATTCAATTATTGGAAAATCATTCTAGTCCAAGCCAAAAGAGGGGTGTGCAGGAGGAAGAGGAGGATGAGCAGGAGGAGGAGGGGGGGCAGGGGAAGGAGGAGGGGCAGGGGGAGAAGACATAAAAAGTAACAAAAAATGGGATGAGGTCAAAATTAAGTCCTATAAACATCATGGAGTGCAGAGGGGCCAATACTGTGTAAGGATTCCCCCGTGCTCCAATCATGTGTGGTACTGGTATGTGCTGCCAGGGCTCAGTCAACAGGGATTCTAGAAAGATAGAGCTCTTGTCAAGTTACCAAAGCTTCTGGTACCCAGCTCTAAGTGTGGATGGCACAAGCCTTTAGCAGTAAAATTCACAAGCTAATTGTATAATTATCTACATAACACTTTCCCTGCAAATGTAAAGATTTGCAGTCAGTTTCAAAGAAGAGGCTGGCCCACAATCCACGCATAAAAATATGAACTGAACTCTGTTCCTACTGTGAGATACATGATGTGTAAAGACAGTTATGAAAACTTAAAGGCATTGTCCTTTCACAGTGTCTCCAGTCCCATGAATTTCCATTTTTATGATCCACATCTCCTCAAAGTATATAAAGGGATTAAAATCAGATTAGAATCAGGTCAAGGAGTGGACAGGCTGTTACTTGGAATGCTGGTATATAAAAGAATCTAAAATGGTGGAGAATTTCATGGGAACAAAATCAGACAGAGAAAAATACATGTGCTAGAACTCCTCTTAGGGAAAGGTTGTGTGTGGAGTGGTAGATAAAGGAGAAAATTTTTTTTGGAAAAGAGACCTACAAGGAGAATGGGAGAGGTAACAAATCCAGGGAGCCAACACATGAAACACACACACACACACACACACACACACACACACACACACACACACACACAGAAGCACAGGCAGAGAGAGAGAGAAAACATCCTCATTTTCCAAACATCAAACATCCTCATGTCTCAATTCCTCATTTTACAGACATCCTCATGTCTCAACCTCAGGCTAAGGACAGTGGGTCCCAATACAGATTAACCACAGGGGCTGCTATTTTCCTAGACAGCGCAGCACATCACCAGCACTGTTCTTCCTCTCTTCATCTCCCCCACAGAAAGCAGTCCTGCCCTGGTAACTGACTAAGGAAAGGGCTACAGAGCAGTGGTGTGACAGGCTGCCAGAGCAGAGCCTTCCAGGGTACCAGGCTTGCTCCTGCCCACAGTACAATCAACATGTTCGCCATGCTTTGCTTCACACATCCTTGATATGTTGGTTCTAGTTCTGCTGTTCATCTTTTTCCTTCTCAAATAGAACTCATATTCCCGTAGATCTCAGTGCCCTTGAGGCCATCAAAGTATTGTATTTGTAGTAAAGTGTTGACCAACAGATTTTCACTCTAACTGGGATCATTATAAGGGGATCTTGGGGGCTGTTGAGATGATTCGGGGGTTAAGAGTGCATACTGCTCTTGCAGAGGACTCTAGTTTGGTTCCCAGGACCCATGTTGGGTGGCTCACAATTACCTACCCCAGCTCCTGGGGATCCAACGTTCTCTTCTGGACTCCAAGGACACCTGTACTCACACGTGCACAAACTCACATACAGACAGACACATATACACATAATTTTAAAATGAAATAAATCAGGCCTGGAGAGATGGCTCAGTGGTTAAGAACACTGGCTGCTCTTCCAGAGGACCAGGGTTCAATTCCCAACACCCACATGGTGGCTAATAACTGTCCTTAACTCCAGCTCCAGGGGATCTAACGCCCTCTTCTGGCCTCCGTGGGCACCGCACAACATGGGTGCACTTACATATAAGCAGGCAAAACACACACATAAAAAATTTAAAAATTAAATTAAAAAATAAAATAAATCTTCAAAACAGAGGGTAGAGGCTTGGTGGCAAATAAAGATTGCTGGTAAAAACTGTTTGGCGACTTTTCCAGCTGTCTCCAGAAGACAGATGGCTAATTTCAAATGTCTTTCTCGAAACGCTACTGGTTCCTACCCTGGCAGTCTCTAAGTCTTTTCTGTAAACACCTTCATCTGCCACTTAATAGATGTAGTGGGCTAGCTCCCTGAAGGAGGCCTGATGCTCATCTGTGGGAAGACACTGTTCATTCAGCATGTCTTTCCTCCAAATCCTGTCATCAATGCATGATGTGGGAAAACTGCCATTCTGAACACCCAACCAAAGCAAAGCAAATCCATCAATTGATTGTGTGGTCAACTCGTAACCTGGTACCAGATATTCAGGCTACTTTGAAAACTTTACTGAAAAGTAACTAAAGCCAACAGTGTGTGTGAGATGAATGAAATGAAAGCTGTGTCTCTTTTAAGAAGAACCACTTCCCCAGGAGGGAAGGGGAGAAAAAGAAAGAGGAAAACCAAGTTGAAACTCGGCATTTACTTAAAGAGGAGCCAGCAGAATGGAGCACGTGGAAGTTTCACAGCACAGAGGGAAGGTGTAGATCACAAGGCCTCCTTGGCACTGTTACATTTCTTTGGTGGCAGCCTCAGCTGGGAAGGCAAGACACAAAAGTTGCATTCTGGGTTCTGAGGACCAAGGAGTGGTGTCTGTGAACTTACAGGGATGGAACGGCTCAGGAATCTGGCTGAAGAGGAGGAGAGCCCCCCGGAGAAGGAGGGTCTGAGGATAGTGGTGTGTTCCTCAGATGTGGCGCTCAGGGGTCCAGGGGGGCTGTTCAGGTTGCCCCCAAGAACACTGCTACTGCTGCTGCTTCTGGTGTGCTGGTTGTTGTTAAGCTCAGGGTAATTTCTGGTAGGTGGCTGGGAGCCGCCATTCAAGAAGCTGGTGAACGGGCTGGTTATGAAGGTTGCCTTGGTGGATGAGGCGGTCTTTTTGTTCTCAGGGTCATCTGTCACAGCATTCAAGTTCCCCAGAGAACTGGCTAGCCGGGAGCTTATGGAGAAGCTGGAGGGAAAGAGATAATAACGTGTACTCAGCATATAGTCACAGCGTCACAGGAATGCAGTGAAGATGGTTCTAATGGACACAGATGACAGACTGACTTCACTACCAGCCTTGGTGACAGGATCATTTGTGACCTTACTTATACAAGTTCCTTGGTCAAAAGCAGTTAACCAAGACCCACAGAGTTAACTTAAATGCTGACTAGTGATATTAAAACAGAATATGTAAAGATTGTGTCTGCCCACAGGCAGAAAGTAAATGTAAGGAAAGTCTGTAAGAAGACTTAAGTACAAGATCTAACCCAAAGGCATTCAAGGATATGAAAACTTCAAGCACCCCTCTCCATTTTCATCAGTTCTCACTATCTACACACACAAGTGAGGAAGAGCACTGTTGATCGTTTGTATGGATGACTATATCCATTTTCTGAACCACTCTAAGCAAACTAGAAATTCACTAGAAGAATGAGATATTCTACATCTAGGACATCCCTTCCTGTACCCCTGTTCCCTGCCAGCAAGACAGGATCAAAAGCCCCAGGAAATGGCAGGGTCTTTGGAGTTTCTCCCCTATTCCTGGCCCCTCTCCTCTCACCGACCTGCAGCTAAATTCCTTGCCTACTGCAGACTTCCTTCCCTCAAGCCAGTAAGTTGGAAGAGGCAGAGAAAAATTACCTTCTCATACTGGCACCTGAAGACAATGAACCTCTGTTTATCCGCTTGGCAGTTGCCGAAGGGGACAAACACACTTTGGGGGTCTTCATAGTAGACGAGGGTGACTGTAGGGAAGAACTTAATCTTTGGGAGAAGAAAGAGACAGTGTGTCACACTAAAGTTGTGTTACATAAGTTTAGCAATGAACTAAGACAAGGTAAATTCATAAACATCAATACCACGAAAGGCCCTAAGAATGGTGGGAAAGCCAACAGATACTGTGGGCACTGAGTGGGCATCTTGAAGGTGAGAAATGGGTTCAGGCTTATTGCTACTCAAGGAGAGAGCTAAAGCTGCTGGCCCATGTACCAGGTAGGAGACAGACACACAAAGGAAGAGTTCCTTACCTAAAGCCACCTGGTTGAAAAGTGACAGGGCTGGGATTCAAATCCAGGCTTCAGAGTCCTGCCCTTAATCAGATCCTGTCACCTCCCTTCCGTATCTCTGGCTTCATGTTTAGGGTCCCATTCAAACACAACCCCTCCTTTATACCTGGCAATGGCCCTAAGCAAGGCAATCATTACTTGACTACTGGGGTCATCTTTTAATCTTATTCCTTAACAATTCGTATCATGACTCACCTCCAATGACATCTAAAACATCTCATCATTTAAACCACTTAACTTCTCAGTGTCCACAAAGCCTAACTAAAATCCTTGGCTTGACTTTGAAAAGTTCTAAACTCTAGCCTTTACTTATTCAACAGGGTCCTGTTACCCACAAGATTTAACCCAGACATCTTCAAGCACATGATGACATCAAGAACCCCTACTCATTTAATTGGTTCTCACCTGTCCATATATACCAGGTGATAAACAATACTACTTATCGTCAGCATGTGCAGCTGGAACCATTCTCTTGATTCACTACAATTTCTAGTCTGGTCGTGTATTCCCTGACTGGACTGCTCTCATCTCTTTGTCCAGTTTGTAGATGCCGTTCTTCCTGCAGGGTTTCCTGTCCTCTCCTTGCCTCCCTTCACCTCTGATCTACCTCCACCCAAGTCACTCTTACTGATGGCCTCCTGATGGCCCGTTCAGTTGTTACCCCCCATAACAAGTCTTCTCTGAATTCCCAGACAGGGTAAGCAGCCTTTTCAACACATATGTTCATAGTAAATCTCAGCTCTTAAACTGCATTTCATCGGCTTGTATTTACCTACTTCTCTCACTTGGTATAATCTCCTTGAGGGTGAAGACTTGGCCTATTTCTACTCCCAGGGATTAGCACAGCACCAGACATAGTAGGTGCTCAATAATCATCTGCCAAGTGGACACAAAGGGAAAACTACCTCCGCTGGGGACAGCCAGGACTCAGCCATGGCTTTAATACCAAATATCTTTGCACTGGGTAGTTTCTGCCAATTTAACACAAAGTAGAGTCACTTGGAAAGAGGGGACCTCGATTGAGGAATTTTCTCCATCTGATTGGCCTGTGATCATATCTGTGAGTCATTTTCTTAATTGTTAATTGACGTAGGAGGGAGAGCCCAGCCCACTGTGGGCAGTGCCATCCCAAGGCAAATGGGCTTGGGCCGTATAAGAAAAGTAGCTGAGCAAGCCAGTTGAAGCAAGTAAGTAAGCAGTGTTCCTCTATGGTCTCTGCTTCAATTCTCGCCTCTAGATTCCTGCCTTGGCTTCCCTCAAGGATGGACTATAACCTGTAAGATGAAAGAGACCCTTTCCTTCCCAAGTTGCCTTTGGTCCTGGAGTTTATCACAGCAATAGAGAAGCAAAGTACAACAGAAATTGGTACAAGAGAGTGGAATATTGCTGCGATGGGCCCAACCATGTTGTTATGGGCAGATTTTGGAAGTGTTTGGGCTGGAAAAGCCACTGAATATTCAGAGCTGTTGTTGGAACTTGGAAAATAATGCTGACAGCAAATCAGATGATAGAGGCATGGCTTATGAGGTTTTAGAGAGAAGACAAGACTCTATCAGGCCTGTTCCTGTGATATTTTGAACTAAGAATCTGTGATTATGAAACCTTTGCTTTACTGAGACAATTTCCATTGGTTAGCTAGAACTGAAAAATCAGTTCTGGTTAACAAGAGACCAGTATCACCAAGACGAAATCTTCTGGAGAGTATTTCATCAGGGTCAGCAAAGAAACTGTGGTCCATAGGCAGCCAAGGCTGCATCTCAAGCTAGCAGCCAAACTTGGTAATCTGTAAGAGTCTCCCATGTGCTACTGGTTTTGATGACATGAAAGCTTCAGGACTGAAGTGGTCATGGAGGGCAGCTGAGGCTTGGTATTATGAGAGACAAGGTGAGGGTGAGACCATTACTGAAGGGGCAGTCTCAGTTGCAGTGGAGACTCCAGGATATTGGAGATGGCAGGACCATGGGACATCCACCAAGGACAACAGCAAGCATGGCATGGAACTGGTCTGAGCTTACAACACAAGCTGTGTGTATTTCAGGTGACAGAGCAGAGAAGTGGGGCTGCATAAGCCCTTTGGAGACCAGAAGATCATGACTGAGTCCTTTACACTGCTGGACTTGGGTTTTCTTTTGATCTGATTATAACTTTACCTTGGCTTTTCCATCTTAGAATAAGAAAGCATATGACTTATTTTGGATTTTACAGGAGACTTTGGATTTTTAAAGAGAACTAGGACTTTTAAATCCATTTTTAAGGGATCATGGGACTTTTAAAAGTTGGACTGTATTTTATATTATGATATTAATGTGAGGTCTCAGGGCTAAAGAAGAAAGGAAAAGATTTAGTGAATAGTGATGTGTCTGTGTGTCAGCCTGACAAGGGGTCAATAGTTTTTTGTCATCTTGACACAAACTAGAATTACCTGAGAAGAAGGACCCTTTTATGGAAGAATTACCCCCATAAGACTGGCCTGTGGCCACAGCTGTGAGGCATTTTCTTAGTTGCTAATTGATGTAGAGGGGCCTAGCCCACTATGGGTGAGCCTGGACTATCTAAGAAAGGTAACTGAACAAGCCCGGGGAAGTAAGCCTTTAAGCAGCATTCCTTCATGGTCTTTGCTTCAGTTCCTGCCTCCAGGTTCCCACCTTGAGTTCCAACATTGGCTTCCTTCAGTGACAGAATCTGAGCCGTAGATATAATAAACTTTCTCCCCAAGGTGCATTTGGTCATGGTGTTTTATCACGGCAACACAGATGCAAACTAGGGGACTCTTTTATCCTAGAAAATCCTGTAATGTAACTGAACTTCGTGTTTTCCTCTCTACTACAGAAAACCTTACTTTAGACTCTTTCCTTTATCACTCACCCTCCTAACCACTGCTTATGCCATATTTTCCTCAAAAAAAAGTGGAAAGTTATATAAGGAAGTGGTTTAAGCTCCTGGAGAAGCTCGAGCTCACTCAAGCTGCTTCCTCTAAAGAATTCTAAATCTATGTCTACAATAAAAACTCCAAGGAAAGAATGGTCAGCCTCCTTCTCCTGTTTTATCAACACGTTAGCCAAACTCTCCTGTTTTCACCATGCCCCACCCTGGATCTTGTTAGTATCACACTGCCCTGTACCACTCCACAAGTAGACAGAGAACTTTGTTCAAGAGAAAAAGCACTAACATTTCCTCTTTCAGAGCAGATGGGGAGAAAAAGAAAAGCACAAAATAAAGGAGGTGAAGAATACAGATAAAAATAGGGGGGAGCTAACAGAAATGGGGCCAAAATCTATCTCTGGATTGAAAGGAAAATTCCAGCGCACTCTGGAGTTTACTAGAAACCCCACAAGGTACTGGAATCTCAACATATCTTGAGGTCACCACCACTGACACACATCCAAGTGGACATGTTAAGAAAAGTCTTTTCAACAAACGAGCAAGAGCATGAAGCTTATTTAACAACCCAAAGGGAAAGGAAGGGATTTGAAAAGCTAAAACTTGGAAAGCTAAATGTGCTCAGTGGTAAAGCACTTCCTCAGCATGTGAAAGGCCTTGTGTTTGAATACCATCATCATCACTACCACCACCAAAAATAAATAAGGATAAATGGAGGGGCCGGAGAGATGGCGCAGCAGTTAAGAGCACTGACTGCTCTTGCAGGGGACCCGGGTTTGATTCCCAGCACCCATATGGAAGCCGACAACCATTCGTAACTCCAGTTCCAGGGGATTCAATGCCCTCTTCTGACTTTCAAAGGTACTGCACAACACGGGTATACTTATACACATGTTGGTAATACACTCATACAACATACAATTAAAAATAATAAAAAAAGTATATTTAAAAAAAATAAGATAAAAGGAAAGTAGTATGCTCAGAGGACAGTTGGTCTTCAATTTAGGCATGGAAGACAAAGGGTACTTTAAGAGGAATCAGTGTTTTCCAGACACAACAGGGAAGTTGCACACATGAACTGTCAGTGATTATGAGAGCATGCATAAGACCTGAGAAAGCTCAAGTCAGACAAAGTCCAGCATGGAGAAAGGAGGGAGGCACGAAGCCCCCCCCCCATTAGCTGAGGGGCTATCAGCAACCGATAGCTGCTGGGAGAGTCCGTTTTCTTTAAGGATGTGATGCTGGGTAGGTTGACCAGGCTCCAGGGGCTAGCCCACACCTGAGAATATTTGGGTAACAAAAAACGGACTTGATGGACTTTAAGAAAAAAAAGGACAAGAAGTTGAGTAGGTAGGGAGGTGGGGGTAATATCAGGGAAGGGGTGTGAATATGATCAAAATACATTGTATGATATTCTCAAAGAATTAATAAAAATGTTATTTAAAAAAATTTTAAAGGCTGTTTAGTTTATATTTATTTTCATGGATTTGAAGCTTGGAAAATATGTGAAACAGGCCATCTATTTTAACAACTGCTAGAAATTCAAACATGTCAGCAGTACCTGAAAGGCTGGAACACTGCTCTTGGGTGTCCTTTCATGTCATCTGACCTGCAGAAATCAAGGACAAGAGCTCAGGCATCACCAGGTCCCCTCCGTTGAACAAAGACCATAACACAAGAGTCAGAGCCATCAAAATACTAAATTGTCAAAAGAGGAAATCAGTATTCATCTACTTCATCTACTTTATAAAATAAATCCAAAACCAACAGAAAATCTTTTTTTTTTTTTTCATTTCATCTTGAATGTCATAGCAACTTGCTTTAAATAAGAAAGTGGGTCCTGGAGAGATGGCCCAGCAGTTAAGAGCACTGGCTGCTCTTGCAAAGGACCTGGGTTCAGTTCCCAGCACCCACATGGAGGCTCACAGCCATCTGTAATTCCAGTCCCAGGGGATCCAATATCCTCTTCTGGTTTCCACAGGCATTGCATGCACATAGCACACTTACATACATGCAGAGAAAACACTCAAACACATAAAATAAATAAATATATTTAAATAAGAAGATGGCATTGTATCTGCTCAGTAAGAAAGTGCTCAGTAATAGCCATGATGCTATTAAGAAAACTAAATTCTAGGGCCAGGCGTGTGATGGCACATGCCTTTAATCCCAGCACTTGGGAGGCAGAGGCAGGAGGATCTTTGTGAGTTCAAGGCCAGCCTGGTCTACATAGTGAGTTCCAGGACAACTGGGATTGCAAGGAGACCCTGACTCAAAAAAAGACAAGAAAGAAAGAAAGAAAGAAAGAAAGAAAGAAAGAAAGAAAGAAAGAAAGAAAGAAAGAAAGAAAGAAAGAAAGAAAGAAAGAAAGAAAAACTAAATTCTAAAACCCAATATACTATCTGAGAATTAAAACGAAGGTAGAAAAAAACCGAGTGTGGTGGCACATGCCTTTGATTCCAGCACCTGGGAGGCAGAGACAGCAGATCTCTGTGAGACTGAGGCCAACCTGGTCTACATGGCAAATTCTAGACTAGGTGGGGCTAAAGGGATACCCTGTCTCAAAATTACAATATAAAATACAAAATTTTAAAAAAAGGAAGGTAGAAAACTCCCATCTGAATAAGGCTTCTGAAATTTGTACAGGGAAGATTCTTTTGCATATTTATTTGCTAAATTATACTTTCTTCCAATTAAGATTTCTTTTGATTCTAACAAAATCTGAACTATTATAAGGTTTCAATTGTTATGTGGTCAGACATCAACTCCCACCACTGATTTTGGTAATTTCAAACTTCAGAATCAAGATGGCATATACTTTTATGGACACATGTAAGAATCACTTATTTAATTCTCAAAAAATGGAAAGTAAAGCCAAGTAGTGGAATGCATCAAAGCTTGACACAACCTACTTTTCTTCACACTCTGGCTTTGATACAAAATCTTGGTACACCCGAGAGGATCTACCACAACACTAGAAACCCACTTGTGAAACTCCAAATAGAATTTAGAGCAGAGTACCAGAAATAACTAACTCCTCAACAGCTCAAGGTAGAATTCCAGAGATGGAGATGTGGTAATTGCTTTCAGTAAGCTTTTAAATCTTAGCTACTCCCAACAGTGATAGAACACACAAAAAGGTTAAAAAAAAAAAAAAAGCAGCACAAAACAGAAATACATCAAAAAGAAAAAATATAGGTAAACTTGGTATTTGTAGAATGATACTCTAGAGAGAAGATGGAATGTTTTACCCACAAATGGAAGGGGCACTATGAACCGAATGATTTGAGTTGAGGCTACCTAAATGCACAGGATGGTGAGGAGCGAGGCTGTCTCTGGCTTTTTAAGGCACGTAGTTTGTCTCCCTGTGTTACACTGCTTTTCATTTCCACATCTTCATCTTCTAAATTACTCTGAAAAAAAGGCATGTTTCATAGAAAGGTCATTACAAACAGATTTCTTAAGAGAGTATAGATTATCTACATTTATAAATAATATTTTATGTTAATTATCTTGATATAGGTTAAGTCATTTAAATGTTATGACTTCAGCACTGACAAGTATACAGTTCGTTAAGAATATTCAATATTTAAATATTTGGGTCAAGTTACAGCTCAAAGAAACACAAGTACAGGTAGACGTCTGCTACAGTGGATCAAAACCAGAGTGACTTTCATGCGAACGAACACAATCAGGCTTTGGGAAACAGCCTGGCACGGAGTGGCTCAATAGACCCATCACAAATGTTTCCGGGTATTACCAGGTCCACCACTGCAAGTTTCATAATTTGTTTATAAACATAAACAAGATAGGGGCTGGAGAGATGGCTCAGTGCTTTAGGGAGTTTACTTCTGTTACAGAGGACGCAATTTGGGTTCCCAGGACCCATGTCAGGTGGCCCACAACCACCTATAACTCTAGCTCCAAAGGACCCAACACCCTCTTCTGTTCTCCAAGGGCACCTATACTCATATGCACACACCCACACATATACATGCAATTAAAAACAAAAAGTAAAATCCTTAAAAATACAAAATAAAAATAATTGAGGATATCTACACAGTCACACATTGGCATCCTTTAACCCCCCCAGAAGTGCTCAAGCCCTTTCCAGCAGTTAAAAGACCAGAGGTACTTAATCAGGAAAGCATAGTTCCTTCTAAAGGAAGTTTTATGGTTTTAAAAACAGAAGCCCACTGTTAGTGTTTGCACATGCCAGCTCGGGGACAGGGAGCGACAGGGAGACAGAAGAGCTAACTCGTATCTAAAACCAGGAGGTGAGAGAGTAAAGGTCCAAAATGTTAGCAAGGTATTTAGAAATATGATAGTGAAATGGGAGCAGGTTCTCTCAGAAGTCTGGGGAGAGGTGAAATAGAGTTTTATTGTTAACATACATAGACTTTATTTTTCATGTTTTAGGCAATGGTCACATAATACCTGAAAATAAAACTAAATTTAGAAGATATACAGTTTAAAAATCAAATTCAAATACTTAAAATAATACTGTTTCCCTCCATTTAATTGTGAATCATAGCCAGGTGTGGTGGTGCACACCATTGATTCCAGCATTCAGGAGGCAGAGGCAGGCTGATCTCTGTGAGTTCAAGTCCAGCCTGGTCTACATAGTGAGTTTCAGGCCAGCTGGGGCTACAGGGAGACCCTGTCTCAAAAAGACCAAAAAAATTTAATTGTGAATCTTTTAAACATTTTATTTACTATTTTTCTTTTATATGTGTGAGTGTACTGCCTACATGTAGGTAGGTGTACCCATGTCATGAAATGCCCACAGAGGCCAGAAGAGGACATCAGATCTCATGGACCTGGAGTTATAGACCTTCATTAGCTACCATGTGGGTGCTGGGAATTGAACCCATGTCCTCTGCAAGAGCAGCCAGTGCTCTCAACCATTATGTCATCTCTCCAGTCCCCTTTTTGTTTTTCAAACGTCTCATCACTATGTAGGTCAGGCTATCCTCAAACTCATAATCCTCCTACCTCAGCCTGATATACTAGAATTACAGGTGTGAGCCACAACCAGGTTACAACTTTTTAAAAATTGCGACAGATTTCAAAAACATATAACAATATTATAACACACTGTCATACACCTAACTACCTACATTTAATATATTGTTTTTACTTGCCTCCTTCAGTTTCCTTAAATCAGTCAGCCTCACTCTAAAAGAAGAAAATAATACATATATAGTCCCAGCTGTCAATTACTGGAGAGGAAAATTCATGCCTTTTATTAAAAAAATAGAAATAGATATATAGGTAGATAGACAGAAAGATAGGTGGTAGACAGGAAGATATATAAGTACACACACACACATTTGTCATGTATCTGATAGATGAGTCTGAAAAAAAATTGTTAAATCACCTACCGATTTGATATCAAAAGTCAAACACGTGAGCATCCTGAACCAGTCTTCCAGAATTTTCACTGTGTAATACACATCCCCGTCACCCCCACCCTCACCCCCTACATAACACCTTCCTTACAAAAAGAGGAAGGGTTGTATTACATAAGCAACTTTGTAAGCTATTTTTCCATGAAAAATACATGTTTATTGTGGAAGTGCTTCAGGGAAATAAAAAAGAACTCTACATTATCATTTTATAGCCCTATAAAATTCATTGTCTAGACAAGCCAAATTGTGTTACCTTACAAATACCTTAGGTCAGGCTATCCTCCTGTCTTTCACTGCTAGGCACCGCTTTGCCATTCTAGATGCAAATGATCGTTTAACACTGTCCTAGAACTACCTTACGACAAACTCAAAGAAGTAGAATTGCTAAGCTCATTTAAAAGCCATCTTCTAGATGTTAACAAACTTGCCCTCAAAAAAATGGCTATTCCAGGGCTGGAGAGATGGCTCAGCAGTTAAGAGCACTGGCTGCTCTTGCAGAGGACAAGGTTTGGTTCCCAGCACCCACAGGGCAGCTATGAACTGTCCTTAACTCCAGTTGCAGGGGATCTGATGTCCTCCACTGGCCTTTGCAAGTACTGCACGCACATGATGCACCTACATACATGCAGGCAAAATAGTCAAACACATAAAATTAAAATAAGCTTTAAAAAAGATTTTTAAATGGCTACGCCATTTTAAATTTCATCTAGTAAAATTTATGAGATTTTGATTCCTTACTTCCTTGACAATATCAAGAGCATCTTTAACATTGATGAGTATAAATAGCATTTAGTATATAAATTCATGTTTCTTTCATTTCTAGGGATATAGAAAAATTTTAGGTCTAGCAGCTAGTTCATATTTTTATTTGTGTACATTGCATTTTCATACTGGTATAGAAGAGGTCTACATGTTTGTGCTGGATAGCTTTAGTGTCAACTTGACACACCTGAGTTGAGGGAGCCTCAGTTGGGGAATTGCCTCCATTGGCCTGACCTGTGGCCATGTCTGAGGGGCATCTTCTTAATGAGTAATGTGGGAGGGCCCAGCCCACTGTGGGTGGTGCCACCCCTGGGCAGGTGGGCCTGTGTTGCATAAGAAAGCAGGCCGAGCAGGGGCCAAAAGAGCAAGCCTGTAAGCAGCATTCCTCCATGGCCTGTGCTCCAGCTCCTGCTTCCAGGTTCCTGCCCTGAGTTCCTACCTTGGGCTCCCTGATGAACTGCGACCCAGGAGATGTAAGCTGAATAAACCCTTTCCTCCCCAAGTTGGTATTGGTCAGAGTATTTTGTCACAACAATGAAGAACAAATACAAAAAAAAAAAAACAACAACTCATCTGAATATATTGCAAATATATTTCCCTCCAATTGCTCTCTGGAAGGAGAATGAAGCACAGAAAGGGAGAACCAGGAGTGAGGGGACAGCTAAGTGGGTACTGCAACTGCATGATAAGAGAAGACAGCCTGGAACAGGACAGAGACTTGAGGAAGGAGAAGGAAGAGTGGGGCAAGATCTAGTCACGCAGGACACGTCTAAAGAAAATGCTGAAAGTTTAAATCATGTTATTGCTTCTCTATACACATTTGCACTTGTTTTATTTCTATGGCTAGCGTATGAAGCTTAGGGTATTTGGGGGAGTAGGAGGCATAGACTATATACCAATACAATTGCCAATAAGAAAATGACCTCAAATTAGTTGTTTGTTTTGTTTTTGTTTTTTGAGACAGAATCTCATGCAACCCAAGCTAGCCTCTAATTTACTATATAGCCAAGGCTGGCCTTAAACTCCTGATCCTTCTGCCTCTACTTCCAAGTACTTGGACTACAGGCATGCACCACTATGCCTGGCTATGCCCTCAAAACTCTTAACAAAAAGTTACACAATGTTATTCAAAATATATTTACATTAAGCTATACAATTTTAAAAACTAAAAAACTTTATGGAAAAAGTTTAAACACAGAGGCATGACTATAACTAAGCCCCGTATTCATTAAGAAACCAACTGTATAATAAATATACCAGGTCATAGGAGCCTGGGGCAAAGAGTCAGGGAGAGTTCATTAGAAAATTCAACTCCAGGAGCTGGAGAGATGGCTCAGGGTTTAAGAACTCTGGCTGCTCTTACAGAGGATCCAGGTTAAGTTCCCAGTACCCACATGGTAGCTAACAACTGTCCATAACTCCAGTTCCAGGGGATCCAATACCCTCTTCTGACCTCTGAGGGCACTGAATGCACATGGTGTACTTACATACATGCAGGCAAAACAAAACACTCACACACATAAAATATAAATAAATAAGTTAAATTTTTAAAAAAGAAAATGCAGCCAGGTATGGTGGCATCTTTAATCCCAGCACTCGGGAGGCAGAGGCAGGCGGATCTCTGTGAGTTCAAGGCCAGCCTGGTCTACATAGTGAGTTCCAGGACAGCTGGGGCTACAGGGAAACCCTGTCTCAAAAAGACAAAAAATAAAAAAGAAAAAAAGAAAATGCAGGGCTGGAGAGATGGCTCAGCAGTGCAGTTAAGGGCACTGATTGCTCTTGCAAAGGACCTGGGATCTGATGTCTTTTTATTACCTCCACAGGTACTGCATGACACAGGTGCACTTATATTCAGGCAATACACTCATACACATAAAATAAAAACAGTAAATAAAATATTTTTTTAAACTCCGGACAGTGTAAGGCATAAATGAGTCTCATGAATCAGTGGGCAGGAGAGCGTTTGGAGCCTTTGCTCATCAGGTGCTGTTAGGCGTCTGTATCAGTTACTTTTGAGCTGGTATGATTGAAACACCTGACAACACAACTCAAGGGAGAAAAGTTTTATCTGGGCTCACAGTTTCCTAATCTACCATGGTGAGGAAGGGAAGCAGGTGGTAGACACTGTTCACAACACATTAGACCAGAAAGTAGAAGGGAGGGCACTGGACCAGGGGTGGGGCTATGACCTTCAAAAAGAGAGGCTGGCAAGGGTTTGTTCCAAATTACTGTGTGACATA